ATTGTGGTTTTGATTTGCATTGCCCTGATGAATAGTGACGTTGAGCACCTTTTCACGTACCTGTTAACCATCAGTATGTCTTAGAAAATATGCCTATTCAGGTCCTCTGCCCATTTTGTAATTGGATTATTGTTTTGCTACTGAGTTTTATGAGTTCATTATATATTTTGGATATTAACACCTTATCAAATATGGGTTGCCAATATTTTTTCCCATTCCATAGGTTTTCATTTTATTGATCATTTCTTTTGCAATGCAGAAGCTTGTTTAGCTTAATGTTGCCCACTTGTTTATTTTGTTGCTTGTGCTTTAGGTGTCACATCCAAAGACCCATATCAAGGAGCTTTTTTTCTTGTGTTTCTTCTAGAAGACTTGTGGTTTCTGGTCTTTAAGTCTTTAATCCATTTCAAGTTAATTTTTGTGAGTGGTGCAAGAGAGAGACCTAGTTTCACTCTTTTACATGTGAAATGCCCATTTTCCCAGCACCATTTAAGATATTTTCTCCATTGAGTATTCTTGGCTCCCTTGTCAAATATTAGTTGAACATATATGGGTTTATTTCTGGGCTCTCAATTCTATGCCATTGGTCATTGTGTTTGTTTTTATGCCAAAATCACACTGTTTGATTATCATAGCTTTACAATGTAGTTTGAAATCAGGAAGTGTGACACCTCCCACTTTGCGCTTTCTCAGGATTACTTTGGCCATTCGGGTCTTTTGTGGTTCCTTAGAAACTTTAGGATTTATTTTTCCGCTTCTGTAAAAAAATGCCATTGGAATCTTGACAGGGATTGCATTGACACTATAGCTGGATTTGGATAGTGTCAACATTTTAACAATATTAATTCTAATCCATGAACACAGGATACCTTTCCATTTATTTGTGTCTTCTTTGATTTATCAATGTCTTGTAATTTTCAGTGTAGAGATCTTTTACCTTCTTGGTTAAATTTATTCCTAAGTATTGTTTTTGATGCTGCTGTAAATGGGATATTTTAATTTTTCAGATAATTTGTAGAAATGCTTCTGATTTTTCTATGTTAATTTTATCCTGCAACTTTACTGAATTTATTGAGGATTCTCTCTATATAAAATCATGTCACCAAAAATAGTTTTACTTCTTTTCCAGTTCTGATGCATTTTATTTCTTGCCTGATTGCTCTGGCTAGATCATTTTGATTCTTAATCCCACACTGCCTTACATTATAATGAAATAGTTTTAGCAGGTATGTCTTGCCTGCTGGTTCTTGTCAGTGAGGGCATATATCATGAATGTATTATATATTAAACATCTTAGCTTCAGTGCTTATATAGGTATAGGTAACAGAGTATAGACTATGCTATTTTATAATAAAGTCATAGACTTTATTAAACCTAGAGGCAACCCCGAGTCATTTCCCCTAAACCCTCATTTTACAAATCAATAAACTAGAGCTCCAAGGAGACTATGTCATAATTTAACTTAAAGTCACATAACATCAGATTTAAAAGTATAACAGTATCTCCTCATTCGGGCATCTGCTTTTCCTCTTTTGCTACCCTATCTCTGATTTCATATAAGCAATATTTGTTCCAGGCTAACCACTAATGCAGAAAATAAGTATTTACCTTGTACCCACTTATCCTAGCAAGCTCTTGTAGATCCATAACATCTTCCCATCAATGTGTGCCTATTGGGGAAAATATTCTCTTGCAATATTAATTCTAATTATTGGTCAACATGAGATTGAGTCCTGTATACGCTCTCCTAAACTCAGTCATCTTCTAATCAGTCACTTAATAGTAAATGTACATTTTTTAGAGAAGCAGACACTAATTTTTGTGAGAATGGGACTGCTGATTATAACAGAGGTCATTAATTACCCTTCATGTTATGAAGTAATGCTGAGGACGGAGTGGCCGTCCTTGTGCGGGAGTGTCCCCAGAGACAGCCTGCTCCCTTTCACATGCACCTAAGCTTTGCCAGTTATCACTGTACAGCCTTTTACACTTTTGCTCAAATGAATGACCCCATCATCACTGCGTGGTGATGAGTTGTCTGTAATATACCACAGGCATATTTCATCCTTTGAACTCGCCTCAGAGGCTGTGTGGCCATGTGGTTCTTATTAATACTGGATTTAGGAAGACTAAAGCCATCCATATTTCAGTGGCAGTAAACAAGGCAACTCGGTGATCTCTGTGGATAATCTCACCTTCCATTACGTGTTTTGAGTGTGGGCTAAACCAGTGTAAGTGAAATGCGCTGTAGGCTGCCATCAGCTCCTACACCTGTAAAGGTAAGACACGCCATGGCACAGGTCCTTAATTTACTATGGAGTTAAATGCTGACTTTATACATTCATCGTGTACCAAAGAATTAGCTGGACATTCTTCAGTTCCCTTTTCAATTTCTCTGCCACTTGCTGCATTCTACAATACAAGCTGCTGAGTGTTGTAGTGTTGCCTGTGGGACACACATTTAACTTCAGATAATCAGCATGCAAAAGAGTTTGACTTAGCCTGCTCTGAAGAAAAGCATTCCACTTCTCCCAAGCACTTTTTTATGTATTTATGAAGCTGTCCTGAAAGTTTCTGGATGGCTTTCTGAAACACCTTTAGCATCCTCTGTTCCATCCTGAAATAACAGTACAGAAAAATAGAAATGCTCTCTACAACCCTTTATTCAGCTGTACGTGAGAAGCAGTCATTGGGGCAATGACTGTCTGGTAAATTAGAGAAAATAAATACAAAAATTAAAAACTGAATTTGATTATATATAAAAGAACACTGTGTACAGTTGAAAATGTGGGCTTGTGATTAAGTATTAAAATGAACAGGGTGCTGAATGGCACATACCGACATACCACCGAGATGGTGTGGGTACGGTTCCAGACCACCACAGTAAAGCATTGCAATCTTTTTGCTGGTGGAGAGTCTTGCCTTCAATTTGTAAAAAATGCAACATCTGTGAAGTGTAATAAAATGAAGCACAATAAAACAAGGTATGCCTGTACTACATAGCCACTATTTCAAAGATGAGTGTGTACATGTATGAATGTGGAAAAATATTTATGGAGGTTATCTGGGTAGCAGGATTTGCAGTGATTTGCATTTCTTTATACAGTTCTATGTTTTACAATACACATGGATTTCTATTCTAAAAAGAAGGAAAGCTCTCTGTACTGTAATTGATCAAACATTTTTCAGTGTCCCTTACCAAACAGAGCATGGACAGGAGCTGTGCGTACTTTAAGCTGTACTGGTCATTTACACTGCTCAACAAAAAGGCCAGTTAGGAGATATTACAGCATATGGGTTTCAGCTACAGACCAGATCTGGCGTGAGTCTTGTGTTTACTCCTTACCAGCTATTATTTTAACCTCTCTGTTCCTTCCCAAACCTTCAGTTTTTTCTCTAGTGAACTAGTGAGAATAATGCCTATTCTATCTCTTAGGAGACAGTGCCTGACAATACTCCATAAATCATAACTCTCATTGACAAACTTTTTATATGTTTTACCAGACCTTGCATCGTTTGGCTCCTGCAGCCTATCATGTCCGTGACCATGTATTTCTCTCACACACGGCCAGCATCCTAACAATGAATTTCTTCTTTATCCCCTGCCCCCCAACACAAACAGCCACTCAAATGCCCTTCTGGTCAGCCTTTCGTACCTAGCTCAGCTATTACCTCCCTTATTAGGCGTTTCTCCAGGAATGGGACTTAGGCCCTGCGAGTATAACACACAGGTGAATGCTCATGATTACTGTATACTTCTACCCACCTGTAGGCTGTGGCTGACAGGGTGAGCCAGGGACGTTTGCTACACCATCTGCAAAGTCAAAACCTTCATTCCTGAATGGATGAATATTCGAATGCAAAATAGTACAGTCTGTGTTTACAGTCTAAGGCTGCCAAGTGATCATCCTAAAAATTTGAAAATAGATTTCTAGTCCTCGGTTCTGGACTATTCAGTTATCAAAGGCTAACAAAAATACAGTCCAGAAAGGTGTACATTTGATATTAGACCAATGTATGTGCTTTAGCAGATTACTTAACAGTTTGCATTCCCAGAATTATAACAGATAAGTGATCGACATCAGAACAGTGAGACGCTGCCACTGTTACAGATAATCCCCCCCAAACTTCTCACCTCCACTGTTTGCTTCCATGCCAAATTCTATTCTGAATTTTTAAACAACTCCTTAGAACTATAATTGCAAATTACACTCAGGCCTTTACATTATTTTGGGGCAATCAAAACCCAACTGTTTTTCTGTGGGCTAAATAGAATTTTGTCCTCTGAAAGATGATGATTATCTTTCTCTTAAAGATTTGGCCAATGTATAAGCACTTACTACAGTGCTTTTGACCAGTTCAAGTTTATAATCATATTTCGATCCTAAATGGATGAAGCAACCTCTGGTTAATTCAGGTGTTTCACAAACATTCCATCATTGAAACTAAATTTTTAGATTGATGAAGCAATTACAAAAAATAAACAATAAAACACCTTAGAGATTCACTTAAAATTTTCCCAGATGGTAAAGCCACGCTAAAGTCAATGCAAAAAATGCCTGATGAAAATAAATGAAAACCATTTACTCATGCAAGAAGCAGCTTAATTTCTGAAAAATGTAAAAATACTACAAACTGAGGAAAACTGTTTAGACTTCCAGCATTAAAACTCCACCGGCTACACACTTTGAAAAGCAACTGTTTTTGACAAACATGCTGTCATGGCTACTGTGCTTTATTTCAAGTTTGGAATTGGCATCCAGGTCACACTATAGATCTACTTAAAAAATACCCATCACCTTCGTAAAAGAAACAGACTCCAGATTACATTGTAAAATGCAGCCGGGTTCTCTTAGGGGATGATTAGGTTTGAGTTTTTGTTTTAAACAGACGTGATGGGAAGCCCTTACCTGGCAGTCTTCACAGCCTGAGGGGGTTTCAGAGGCGGGGCGTGGCATGTGCCCGGGCCTCCGTCCTCACCCGTGTCTCCCCTTTCACAGCACGCCATGCCCTTCTGGAGGGTCTCCAGTCACTCGGACCTCATGGCCCTGCACCACGCTTTGGAACTGGAGTACCTGTGACCGCCCCATAGCACTTTGAAACCGCACAGCTGCCCTGTGACCAGGGACACGTCCCGCAGGCCTGAGTCTCGTGTCCTCGCCCGACTCGTGACTTCCCGATCTCTACCTACGGACGCTCAGCTGCCATCTGCCCTTGTGGTAAATGAAGGACCACGTTTATTTCTTCAGAACAGCTGTTGCCACAAGTACTGTGAATCCCATGAAAACAAGCCATGAGAATGTTCTAGCACAGTGTAATGTGTCTCCGCCACATTAACTACATGGTTCAAACCTGTGAAGAAAGGACCTGCGAACGCTTAAGGGTTTTAGCATCTTCAATGTGACGACACAAACAGCTTCTTCGGTACAGCTAACTTGATTGCACAACCAAGACTGAAGTGTGTTTCCTGAACATCAGTGGGGGAATTTGCTTGTAAAGAAAGTTTACTTTTCGGCGTCTCCTACCCAGGGTAATCAGTACTTATTTATGAACAGACTTTTCAAAGAAACAGCTTTATGGAGGTATATAACCCCAGTGCACCGTCCCATTCACTCCGACAGACTTTCTGGCGTCAAACAATTGAAGGGAGAAGAGCGTATGAAAGAAGCGAGTAAAGGCCTTCGCCTCATGACACAGCAAGTACTTTGAATTTTAGCACATTGCAAAGTAGTTTAACGTATGTCTAATTTAAACGTGTAATATGTACATCGCTGAGACAATCATGTACAGAAAGAATTTTGGGTGTAAATTTGTAATAATGGATGATTCTTTTACATATTGTTTAGAAAATATTGAAAGGTAGCAATGCCTGGATAGTGAAATATGAGGCAGTCTGTGCACGAACTCACGTGCAGTGCCTTATCCAAGTATACTGGGTATAAATATGTAGATAATGGGGTGTTTTTTAGTTAATGTTGTCAAGACCAAAAGCATGGATGTCAAGTGTCAATAGGATTTTTCCCCCCATCAGTTCTTTTTTTTCCTTTTTCTTTCTTTTTTTTTTTTTTATGCTGTTAGGAGGGCTTTGGGGAAAGAACATAGCAGTTGTCTTGAGTCATTTGGAAAAAAACCTTCCTCTTACCACCTCACTTTTTCGTCTTCAACACTAATGTGTGGGGCTGTCAGAAAAGTCATGATGCATTTTTGCAATGAAAAACATAGAAAAAATACGTCATGACTTTTCTGACAACCCTATATGTTACTACTTGGGGAAAAAAATGATTATTCAAATGCTTCTTTTTCCAGAAAGAATGCAGAGGATAGCTATATTTTTTAATAAAATGGTTCATGAATTGGAAACGAACAAAGCGAAGTTTTCGTGTGCTCAGATTTGAGTGTCTGCATTTTCTTGTTGCGATAAAGGAGGACATTACCCCATAGCTGGAAATTAGCAAACCTTTGCATTCCTCCCTACAGTTGCATTCCCTGTTTTCCTCCACTCTCCCCCACCATCCCAAGGAAGTTCATTGCTGGCAGTGGACACGGAGCCCGGTCATCATTTCCAAGGAAACAATGTTCCTCTTCACCTTATTATGTATTACACAGCAAGCATAAATATGGGAAATAAAAGTTGTCACTTTTGTTGTACCATAAAAAGTTTCTCCAGAAGTGGTCAGTTTTGGTACTAGTTTCTTTCTCTCATCTAGAAAGCCTTCCATTGTCATGAAATTACTTTTTGAATGAATTTTCTTGAATATTATATTGGGGGGAAAAAAGAAACACCAGCTTTGACCCAAAGTAGCTCAAGAGCTACCCTATCCTTTTCTGAAGTTTCATGTTGCTGCTAGAATTAGTCAGTTTTGAATTCTCCAAATTGTTTAACAATGGATTTTCTTTCTTTTTTTTTTTTTTTTTGCTTGAAGCAAACCGAAGTTGACAGTTTTTTAGCCTTTTCATTTTACGTTTTTGTACTCTGCAAATTGAAAAGACAAAGTTTTATCTTGGCCTTAACTGTATAAAAGTGTGTTGTGTCCACAACTGTGTACAGAATTTTTCTTCATTCATTTTGTGTTTAAATTAATAAAATTGATTTGTGAAGTACTGTAAGCTCCTGGAATGTCAGTATTTTCTTCTTGATCTCTTGGTGATAAGACACAGCAGGAACCTGGCGTGAAGCATGCATAGTGATGGCTTTATCTGTCCTTGACTAGAGGGAACTAATTAATGTGGAGGCGTAACTGCTGTCTCTTTGATCACTGTAAGAACAGATGACTGCAAAAGCTTTCCTTCCTCCAAAACGACATCAACTAGACCCTCACTCAAATTTATCTACTATTCAACAGAATTCAGCACTAAGTATCTTGGATGGCAAAGCATAGATTTGCCACTTAAGTACGCAAGGGACAGCAACATAAAGCAGTTTTATCTATAAAGAATGCCCATGGCCTATACACCTCTGAAGTTCAGCCAGATTAACCGCTGACAGCGAGCTATAAAACAGCCCAACTAGCTTCCTCCTGGGATTTTGTCCTAGACACACAAGATTCATGCCCACAAACACGTGACAATCTAACATGCAGTTGTCTGACCCATGCATCAGGCCCACCATGTCTGTTTTTCACATGCACACAGTAGGCCTAGCAGCTGGGGGGTCATGGTGTCTGAGCATGCTCAGACCCTCTGAGAATGAAAAAAAGTTTGGGGAAACACTTTAGAGAGAGGCAGGGGAGAGGACTGGAGGGACTTTTAGGTCTCAGATGAAGAAAGTATGGCAGATAGGCAAAATGGAGGGCATACCCTCAAAAGATGAATTTTCTAAAGCACCCTGATGCCCTTCGGCCAAAATGCTTAGGTTCCCCTTGATCATAGGTTAGAGCCCAGATTTCTCTCCCTGGCATTCTAGAGTTTCTAAATATTATAGTCTACTTTCTTTCCAACATTCTCGCTCACTACCGTCGTGAACAACCTTCAGTACACAGTAACTGGGTCCTCTAATGGACCACTCAGCCTGTAAGCATCCCTAGCTCAGAGCTTTTCCCTTTCCCACCTACAACCCTCCACCCCCAGTCCTCCCACCCCGGGCCCAGCGCCATGCCCTCTGCCTCACACAGCAGCCCTCCCCGCCGTGGTCAGCGTCCTCCCCTTCCCGCCATGGCGCACAGTGAGAGCCCCTCGTCTTCAGCTTCTCCACCCAGGGTCTATAGTCCGATGGGCAATTCCTATTATTCCCTTCAATAAACTCACTGGGTCCCTGCCATGGGGGACATTGTCCTAGGTGCTGAGGACAGCCGGTCCCTGCTCCTGAGGATGGTGTTGACATGGGAGCAGGTGAGAACCAACAAGAAATGAATGAATGAATGAAAATGAATGAATGAATGAAAATAGGATACATTGTCAGAAACATTCCCTATACAATTAAAACAGGGCATGTGGGTAACCGACAAAGCATGAGCTCCCCTGGAAAAGGGTGGACAGATGTGGAACCTGAGCCCAACTGCTAAGAAGTAGGCAGCATGTGAAGGTCAGGGCCAGAGCAGAGAGCCAAAGGTACTCAGGGCAAAACGCTTTTCCTTACTGTTCTAGGAGTGGAAAGCACTTGGTAAAGGAGAGAGACTGGGAAAATTTGAGATCACGGTAAGGCCTTGGGCGCTCTTCTAAATGGAATGGGGGAGCCCTAGAGGGGTTTCCGTGGGGCTGGGACCCAATCTGACAGACCCTCAGAGATGATCACTCTGGCTGCCGGGGGAGCAATGGCCAGACAAGGCGCAGGGCAGCAAGTGATGCGTCCAGGTGAGCCGCGGCCAGCTTCAGGTTGCGGGGGAGGAGGGCGAGCAGAGCTTATTTTTAATGCTAGCGACGACAGGACTTACGGATGGTCAGATGGGGGGCGTGGTGAGACATGAGGGATGTGGCCACCTCCAAAAGAAGGGCTCTCGCCGCCACTGGTGGCTAACAGCCCAGCCTCGGCAGGCAGACTGCCGGGGTTCTAATCTTAGCACCCCTGTCTTAGCTAACCCACATTTAACTTCTCTGTGCCTTCATTTCCTCACCTGTGAAAAGAGGGTCACAATACCTACATCAGATAGTAACGAGGACAAAGTCAGTTTTATGTGTAAAGTGCATGGGACACTGTTGGGCATATTACTTAATGTGGCCTATTATGTTGGCTAAGTATTCACATTTTTTTTTCTCCCCAACTCAAGAACCAGCGCCTTGGCTGCACAGACTGTTTGTAAGGACACTGCATTATTCTGGCCTAGTCTAGGAAACAAGGTGAAAAAGTCTGGTTCTGAATTCAAATATGGGGACAGTGGCTACTAAAGAAGAATCAATTGCAATGACAAAACAGGCTTCAGTGAGCATTTCTGATGGGGTGAGAGGGGGGCCAGTCTGGGCAGGCTGGAGGCGCTTCCCTGAAGAGCTGATGGCTGAGCTGAGACCGGAAGGCTGAAGGTGGCCTGAGAAGCAGGGAGGAGGGGAGAACAGGAGAGGCCTGGCATGGGAGGAAGGCAAGGAAACACGCAAGGGAAGCCAAGCCATGGGACTGTGGGACTGTGGGACTGTGGGACAGGCACGCGAAGTGTGTTGGTCAGAGTGGCCAGGAGAAAGGGGTGAGGGCTTTCGCTGCCCTTCACCTCACAGCGCAACTTCAGGTTTGGGGCTTTCATTGTGTGAGAAGGCTCCTCCCCTTCATAGAGAAAGAAAGAGGGTGGTGGGGACAGAAATTTCACTCTGGCCCCTTCATTAGCACGCATAGCCTGAAGCCCCTGAGCATGGCGAGGGTCCTATACTACACACGACTCCAAATGCTAGGTCTACATACTGTCTAGTACAGATTACAAAACTCAGGTTAAATGCTCTGCCCAAGGGGTCACAGCCAAATAAGGCAGAGTCACGACCCCAGCCAACTCTTGAGCACAGCACAGAATCATGAAACGCTCCTGAGCTCTCAGGCCAATGGAAGCTGCCTGGGCCTCCCTGCTCTATCACTACCCACCAGGGTGAGCGTGGCAGCACTTTCCATTTGCAACGCCTGTGTGTCTTCCTGCCCACAGGTAGCACCGTTGTCCAGGGATGCCTCAGTGCTTTTCCTTTTAAACCTTAGCACCTCAATTCTATGGCATCCTTCCAGACGCTGGTTTCACATTTGCCTTCCAATCAGCATTTACAAATGTCAAGTACACACACATTTTGCAATAACTTTTTAAATTTGCTTTTCAAAACACCTGAGTATGACATGGATGTTTCCCAATTCAAATGAATATAAAGGAGGCCATTTGCTTAACAGAATGTAGACAGCGATGCCACGGACACTGTGTGTTCCTTTAAGGCCAGGAAGAAATTTCTTTCCAGACTCAAGAATTTACCCACCCATCCACAGCTACACAAGCTTCGGCTGGACGAGTCCTGTCCGTCCCCCTCCCGGTGGCGTTTTGACAATGCAAAGGGAGAAAAGTCAGTAAAAAGCACTTCTTTCTTTCAGTGTCTCTCAGGCTGTTTCCATTCCTCTCGATTCTGTGCAATTATACAAACTGACAGGATAACTTGTGGCAGAAGAAATGAAAGGGTTTGTAATTTAGGAAACCTTTGGCCCCACTGACTGAAAGCAGGTTGTTTGTAAAAAGGAAATCCTGACCTCAGCTAACTGGCAAACTCTGTCAGAAGCAATAGAAGGAAGAGAAGGAGAAAGAACAGCACTGGGGCTTTTTATTGGCAACAGAAGAAAAACGGATGCTTTGCCAGGGGAAAGCCTTTCCAAGAGAACTCTGCAGTGGGGGGACAACACGCCCCGAGTCACCGAGTGTGTCACTACACAATTGCACGGTGGCTTTCCTCTGGGTTCGTGGGTTGCTTTGACCGGGGGAGTTTGCTCTTTGGGACAATAGCTAGACTGACAACCCTGAAAATGAATTTCCTCCCGTTAGCTGCAACTGAAGTCCCTCTTCTACCAGCGAGCACTCCGTGGCCTGCCCCATCTTCTGTCCAGGCTTGACATAAAGCTCCAAGGCCCCCTGATGACAGGGTGTGCAGCTGGTGTGACAGGAGACAAGCTACCTAACGTTTTTCGTGTTGGTGCTATCCGCAGCTCACCCTCGCTTCCTCCCTCCCTCCGTCTGCTGTCTGTTTGGCAGGGCTCTGTGCTGACCTCTGGGTAACTCCGTGAAAGAACAGAGGCCCCTGCAAGCTCTCATTTCCTTATGCCGGTGGCTCTCAATTGGATGCCCTTTGAAATCACCTGGATGCTTTGAAAAATACCCCTGCTCGGGCCCCACTCTGGAAATTCTAATTTAATTTGTCTGGGTTGGTCTTGAGCAGCAGCCAAGATAAAGAGCCCTTGCTTTGTGGCAACCAGGTGTGAAAAAGAACGGGAAACACCATTTACAGGGGAGTCAGGAAGCCCCAAAGAGGGAGCCCTCACTCACTACCACTCGCTGCACCTTGCAGACGCCCCAACAGGAAGAGGCATTCCCTTACATTTCTTGACAGGAAGAAACTTACTTTACTACTCCAGCAGAAGGAAGGTTTTTCTTCTTGCCTAGCAACAGACCCAGCCAATGAGAAACCGCCATGGCTCAGCCAATGAGATCTTCAGGTTTCATCCAATGGTCATTTTGTTTACAAGATCGCTGGCCAACTACCCTCTTCCTCTGTACAAGAATGCTCCTCTCTTTTGTTCTCTGGACTTGCCCATGATTTTGCCATAGCTTGCTGGTCCTGAATTACTGTAGTTCTCTGCTATTTTTGAATAAACTCATTTTGCTGGTAAACTGGCTATTTCATTTCTTAAGGATGACACAGTCTGGGCAATTTGTGAAGCATGCTTTCCAGCTTTTGGCCTCTCCTTTCCAATCTATTTGGATTCCCAGTTGGCCATGCCTATGCTGCTGAAGTCCTTATGACCCAACTCAATTCCATTCAATTGTCTAGACTCTAGGGAGTTACTACTGTGAATGAAAAGTGCTTCCCAGTGTCAGGGGTGTCCCCCAGGGCTGGCCATCTAGTGGGCAAACAGCAGTGTAAAAAGCAGACTGTAATGAGGGCCTCACTACATCGCAAGGACATCTGCAATCTATGGGACAAAATCTGCAAAGAATATTGAT